GAAAACAGTATACAAATCACTTCCCTATGTACCAGGTTCTTTGAAAATGCCAGTTGGTGAAAGATCTCACATATGCAAAGTCTGAGTGAATTGGAGTAATACTCAGCTAATGCTTAAGATCAATTTTTTTGCCACATATAAAGGAATGCCCAAACGAATTGTTCTCTAACCCTTTCTCACACAATTTTGTTTGCCAGTGTTCTGTTGGTTTAAGTGTGGTTTAACTGCTAAGAGGACTCAAGATCTCTCACTCAGGGTACTCAGATCCTATAAACATCTGGGCTGCAGTGACATAAATTGATGATGTAAAGGCAGCATCCAGACCCCCCCTTGTGAGTATTAGAGGCAGCCATCACAGCTTTTCTTAAGAGACTCCATCACTTCCTTGCAGTCAAAACGACTCAGTGTTTGAAATGGCTTGCCAGTTTCTCTTTCTGTGTTTTAAGCTGAACTTTAGCTCTGGACCACCACATTATTTCTGGCTTGTTGGTTGTGTAGAGAAAAAGGAAAATGAAAGCAGTCTTAATAATTTTCACATTTCTCCCTGAAACCAGAACATGAAAATAAAAATTTTAAAAGTGATCACTTGTGTACTACTGTACTGCCCACCGGCTCCTTCTAATCAAGACAGATAGGCAATTACAAGGTTCAGGTGCACTACAAAGCCTCATAAAGTAACAAATGCACTGGTATTTTGTGAGCTCTAAATGTAAATATGGAAAGTTAAGTATATCCTTACGCACATCTTACTTTACTTAGCTCTACACTAGAATGCTGGACCAAATTAACTTTTTCAGATGTGCTTTTGAGATAGGGTCACAGCATGTAGCCCAGGTTGGCCTCAAAAACTTGCAGTCTTCCTGCCTCTGCCTCGAGTGCTGGGTTACAGAGTATGTCCTTCAAATTCTCTATGTAAGGCTACTCTTATTCTGTGCCATTCACCTTCTCAACCAAACCCTAAAGACATATGTTAATAAGGTAACTGGACAAGGTTAGTTACAGTCTGCAGCAGGAGGATCTCCAGGTTCTGCACATGCATCAAATCCATGGCCTTGTCCTCATTAGAATTATGAACAAATCAAGTAAACTAATTGGCCTATTTTTGCAAATGTGTAAATATAATATTTCACTTTGTCTTAATTATGATATCTGACCCAAATAAACTCTGAACACGTAATTATACAGCATCTACGTTCAGTTGCAGCTGCCATTTATAAAAAATAAGAACCAAGTTAATTTTCTTGTTTTATTAAATAAGTTCTTAGAAAACAGAAATGGATGTTACTTACTATAATTTGTAACACTACCGTCATTGGCTAAGAACAAGAGAAGAATTTCTACAGGCTAGATTTTAGCTGCTGTTTCATCAAGTTCAGAGACATTGTAGAAACCATGGTCTACATGGAATGCGGATAAACCACTAATATAACCTGCTCTGAGACTTCCTGTTTTCCTTTCTGTTAATTGAGCACACAGCTGAGTTTCTAAGCTTTGCTTTCCTGATATATTAAATAAAGATATCTACCTTACATGATTGCTAGGATACAATTAGTCAAAGACTCATTACTAAGCACATTAATCAGATTTCTGTGGCTGGACAAAATACCTGAGATAAACAACTTTAAAATAAGGAAAGATTTGTCTCACAGTTACAAAGGTTTCAGTCGATGGTCTCTTGGTCCCACTACTTTTGGGACTGTTGTAGTAGGGCAGGAGAGTGAGGTGGAGAAAACCTATTTACCTCATGGTGGCTAGGAAGTAAAGACAGAGGAAAGGGTTAGGTTAACTATCCCTTGTTAGGGAACACCCACCACTGATCTTTCTTCCATTTAGCCCTACCTCCTAAAAGTTTTACCACCTCCCAACAGCACCACAGACTGGTAACTAAGCCTTAGCATCTGGGCATTTAAGGGACATTAAAGAATAAAACCATAACAGTACATAATAAATGTTGACCTTCTTAATAAATTTGAAATTCAGCTGAAAGATATACAAAAGATTGCATGATCAGTCACCTTTTTCCAATCTCTGCAAAGAAAGAGACATCAATACCATGGCATGGAGAGAAGTGGGTGGGAGAAGTGTTTAAGTAGGATCTCAAAGAAAAGTGTATAGGGCCTCGCATTTGTTGAGAGTTTATACTGAACACTTCCAAGTGGTCTTGGTTAATCTTTAAAACCACTGTCTATTTAAAAGACTTCCTAACTCAGGAAAGCTGCTTAATATTGTACCATCTCTACAGCAGCTCTGAGAAATCTGCAAAGCTCTCAAAGTTGCTTCAGTATGCAAGGAAAACATCTGCAGAAAATAGCCATAGAAATCTCTTGGAGGGGATTATTTTGGATTGGCTGCAGACTTTTACTAAGTTTCTCTGCAAAAGCTGCTGCTTGTGCTCACTTTGGCAACAAATACTAAAAGTGGAATGATACACAGAAGATTAGCATGGCCCCTGTGCAAGGATGACACGCAAATTTGTGAAGCGTTCCATAAAAAAAAAAAGCTGTTGCTTGTGATTTAGCAGTGTCAACAGCAGGTATGCAAGAGCAAGAAACAAATCTGTGGCATAAAAGGGAAGAGGGGCAGTTTCCTGGATTAGAATGTCTGTTTCCAGCCCTAGAAGACCCAAGGCTTCTTTGAAATAGCCTCTCAAAACACTCTGGTTACTGAGCATGCCCAATGACTGTAACTGAGGGGCACTGAAGATAAAAAGTAGGAAGCACAGTGAAAAACAAGAAAACAAACAAACAAAAAAAAGTTGAGTTACAACCTTGGAGGAGCAGTCTTTGATATATTAAAATGAAGGAAATTACACAAAGAAAAAGTTTTCTTTTTATATTTAGACAGAGCAGCTCAAATTAAAAAAAAACTAAATAGCAGAAATAAGTCTAAGCTATTAGCAACTAAAGTATACTCTTCCTAGATACACCATCTTCTTTAGCCCTCCAAATTAACCTGAAAGAAAGGGCAGAAGCTCCTTGCATGGAGCCCTTGTCTACTGCCACCCTCCAAAACAAAGCTAGCTTCAGCCAGGGCCATTCAACTTATAACACTGACAGGCTTCTCTATCTAATCAAAGATTTCCTTTGACAGGAAATCCACTGTGTGAAAAACACCACCATAGATTAGCCCAAGTTTGAACCACAGACAATTAAATAAGACGTGAGTCTGTCCCAGACCACACCTTTAGTAAACATCATCATCAACAAAATTTAGGCTGGTGGGAACACTGGCTATGGTTAGGTTTATGCTTTGGTGGTAGCTTGACCCAGAGCAAAGTGATGTTGGAAGCTTAATCCAGATGTGGATTCTACCACTACAATCTTTGTCTGATCCACCAATTTTTATCTGGAATAATCACTACTCAGTCCAGAGGCCAGTATATATTAAAATGAGGAATTCAAACACAGAATTTTAAACTGTCAGTTCTAAAAAGTTCATTAGATTAAATATGCTGTCAAAAGGTGCTGAGAGGAAATCCTTAGCTTAAAGCTTAATAGGAAAAATGGCTGAAAACCATGAAATGTCTATTTTAAAAAAACTTAAAATAAGCTTCACATGCCTTTGATTACCTACCTTAAATGTGTAATTCAGATAATGTGTAGAACGTCACAAATTCTATTTATGTCTATCCAGATTTTTTCTTCACTTCTAACAAGCTTCTAAAACTGGTAGTTCTTTATTAAAAGGACAAAAAAAAAAAAAAAACCCATAAATTTAAGAACCAAAGGAGACAATTTGATATCATAGGTATTTAACTCAATGACTTCTTCTGGGACCACAATATGCCCAATTTAATATAAGCATGAAAATCATGACTAAAGTGGACGTCAACACAACTACTGGGAGAAAGCAGTGAAAGTAATTATACTAGGAGATTATCCTTTATAAACCCTGAATGTAGGGAAATCATGCAGTATCACCTGTTAAAAGTAAATAAATAGGAAGAGAATAGGTTTATTATTACAAATTTGAGTCTATTTCTACTTAATTGGGAGTGCACAGGCAGAAATTCCAATAAACATCCAACTGAAAATGTGGTGACTATAATAAGCTTTCCACTAAAGTTAAATTCAATTGTCTCTATAATCACATGTACTTCAGAAGTTTAAGCTAAGGACTTATGAAACGCTCCTGTATAGTTAATGATTTTACTATGAAACGTCACTTTAATTCTAATATATTAGCAATGTTTGGCCTGTAAAGTGTCAAGGATATTTTAAAACCCCACAAACTGTTAATTCTGGACAATAACTTTTAAGAAAGCAAAAACCTTCAAAGTCTAAAGCCATAGAAAATCAGTCTGAATGCATTTTAATGTGGAGCAAAAATTTAATGGACTACTAAACTCTCAGATTTGTTTTCCCCCCTACAAATACAGTATACAATTGTTTCTTTCAGACAAGGTAATCAACACCATTAATAAAAGATAATTATTTCTAACTTGGTTTCTAATTTAACGAACCAATAATGGTATCTTAGCTAACAACACAGATAACCTGCCTTATGTCAAATATATAAAAGTGATATACGAATCATCCGAAAATCTTTGAAATATTAGAACTGAAGGCTTTCTGCATTTGTAAATTAATGGCTTTTGAGTGTGAGAAAGAACTTAAAGATACTGTAATATCTCATATCTGTAATGAAAGGAAAAAACTACTGATACTAGTTCTTAAAACTCACAAAATATTATAAAGCAAACTTGTCATTTTAGCTGATCTTCAATGTTTATACATGCAACATAAATTACAAATATATAACATTACAACATCCAAAAGAAAATGATGTAAAAATATTTATGATAAATAAAATTATTGCATTTAACGTCACCTTCTTAAAAATCCAAATCATCAAACTCCTTAATGTTCCATCAAATAAACAATACCAGTTCAAATTACAGAAAATGTATGCCAACATCGGCTTCTGACAACAAAAATAAGGCAGTTAAAGCCCTACCTACAATCTGTCTAATTTAGGTCAGGTGATCATGGAAACAGAAAAATATTAAAATTGTTTATTTTATAATTATGCACATTGAAGGAAAGCATAATAGATAGAAGAGTTCTTTTCCACCATAAAATTATTTACACCCATTTATTTAGCTAGAAACACTAGCTTGAGAGGTACTGATATATTCCATTTGTAATAATTTCTCTACAGCAAACGAGTGTCTTATGTTTGGAGCAGATTGAAGAAAATAGTCATGTAAGTCTTTTTTGCTTTTTTGAGTTTCAATCACTAAGAATTCAAGGTACTTTGGGAGAATCCTGATGTCCTGGATGGCCAGATGAATGCATTAAAATCAAGCGGTGTGTTTGTATTCCGAAAATACTCTTAAATCCATATAAATCTGTATGGGTTGTGGAGCTCAGATTTCTTGTACTGGCACTATGACACCTGACAAACATTTGTTAGGAAAGTTTCACACCAATTTTGTTTTGTTCTTTCTTCATTAGCCTCTGTGCTTCCTTTTCCATTTTCTTCCTTTGCTGTTCTGCTGCTCTCTTTTCTCTGTCTGCTATTTTTTGCTGCCTGAAAAGAAACATACTCACAGCTTTACTTTTAGAAAAAATATACAGGCAAAATGGCAAATAAGTTCCAGAAAGAAATGAGTGTCTTCTTACTCTCATAAATGAACATTTAAAGTCTTGAGTCTTCTCATTTCTTTAAAAATTTAAAAATTTTCAAGAATATTTCTGCTAATCATCAGAACTTAACTTGCGAAACATAAGAGGCATTATATCTATTTTACAAATAAATAAAATGAGGCACAAAGGTTAAATTAATTGCCCAAATTCATAGGACGAAGTATAGTAAATAAGAACTTGCATCTCTTTGCCTTTCTTCTTCAGATTATTTTCACTACTACTTCTATTCAGTCACAGCTTTTTACAGGGGAAAACTTCAAAAACAGCTTGATACTTCAAAAAAAAAAAAAGCTTCATATTAAAGATTAACTCTCCTGTTACTATAACTAAACAAAAAACAAAAGCCACTCCACCAGCAATTTTTTGTGTTAGGTTTTTTCGAGATAGGGTCTCGTGAACTATATCCCTGGGATGGCTTTGAACTGCGATCTTCCTGATCTCTACCTCCTGAGTAGGTAGCATAACAGGTGTGAGCTGCCAGCACCTGGCAAAAATGTATTTTAATTTGATTTTTTTGGCAGGTACAGTGGCTCACACCTGAAATCTCAGCTATTTGGGAAGCAGAGATCAGAAGGATTACAGTTTGAGGCCAACCCAGGCAAGAAGCTATGGAGACCCCATCTCAAGAAACAAACCCAGTGTTGTTCACAACTATAATCCCAGCCATGTAAAAGGCATAGTTAGGTGATTACAGTTTTAGGCAGGTAGGGCAAAAAACAAGACCCTCTCTAAAAAAAAAAAAAAAATAATAATAATAATAATAATAACCTGAAAGAAAAGGGTTGGAAGCATGGCTCAAGTGGTAGAGTATCTGCCTAGCAAGTACAAGGCCCTGAGTTCAAAAACCCTGCCTTTACCCCTCCACCCCCACCCTGCTGTCCTTTATAAAAGACTGAGTTATACTGACTAAAGGGAAACTAAATAAACTCTCACAACTTTACTGACTAAATTTTAAATGAGAACCCTTTCCTTTTTTTAAACACATGCAAAAACAGAATGGACAAATGGTTAAGAGAAAACCAAGAACTAAACTTCCAGATATTTAACTGCTCCCTCTGCTGGTTATTCAAGGTAATTGAAATTTACAGGGAAAAGGAAAATAAAATTTAAAAAAATGAAACCAGTTCTTAACATAGTCAGAAAAAAAAGTAATTAATTTTCTATCCCTATAGTAAAAACAATCTTAATTTTAAAATGCAAAAAGTTATATCACTGTACTTTACTATGTAATTTTTTACATGAATAACTCATTTTAGATAAATTGAAATATAGTTTTCATCAGTAATCAGTCACAAGTTCTCCTTTAAAATAAATTTTCTATTTACTCTTTGACCGAATGTAAAAGTAGCAAGACCTAAATTTCTCATAAAAAACAAAGAAAGAACGTCAACCAACGGAAATGAACTAGAAAACCTGTAGAATATTTACTTTCTGTAGAATGAGCTGTTAATACTTACCTACTTTATAGGGCTTTCTTCGACACAAATTAAGATATACATAGAGATATCAAGTGCTACATTAGTTATTTTCATTTAGATGTGCATTGCTGGGCACTATACCAACCCATGAGGAAATGAAAACAAAGTTACAACTTCTGATCTGGAAGAATATAGAGCGGTAGCTCACATTTCATAGTAGGACATGTCATGAGTATAAAATGGTATGTAGATGTTAAAGATTTCACTTGCCATTAATTAAATTGTTTTCTTTATCCCTACACAATGATTTAAATACTTACTATTATGTAGCATAGCATATGCACTCTGAAATACAGAATAAGTCCTTATTGTCTAAGGGTCAAATGAAGAATGAAGACAAGCAGACATTTGGCAGAATATACTTCCTTGACCTTAAACACAACAGGGAACAAATCTAGCTCTTCCACTCAGGCTATAATGTAAATATTACTTAAGTACCTCAGAACTTCCTCTGCTTGCCAGGCTGCATCTTCTTCTTCTTCCCATGCATTGGTATTTTCTTGCCAGGTATCTAAGTCACCCAATTCAGACTATAATGAAAAATAAAGCAAAATTAAGATAGGATAAAGCCATCCTTTCTCCACACAGCAGTAAAAAAAAAAAGGGAGCATTTCTTAAAACGTAACTCAGAACCTGTCACTCTCCTGTGGATTCTCAACTTCCACACCAAGTCCTTACAAGGCACAAATGATTTTGCCTGCCATTTGCCTAGAATTGCAGGTTTCGTAATAATACTATAATGCTTTACTTTCACAAAGGCTACAAAATCCTGGGAAGTCCAGCTTTCTTCCTAGTTTATATTTTATAAGATACTGTTTTATAGTTAATTTCCTGCTTTTGCTTACTTAGCATGGAATAGACAAGAATAGAACATTTCTTCCTTCTGTTTTTCTCTCTTTCTTGTAAGAGGAATGGGAGAATGAAGGAGGGAAAAGAGACTGACTGATCCCAGGCTGAATTAGAAGTATGTGATGAGACTGTGTGCTGAGAAGTTTCCATCTTCATTTAAGCACATAATTTGTGCACTGGCTCATCTTGTTTCCATCCAAGGCAAAAATGACAAATCAGGCAAAATTTATCTTTACTGGAATACCATGTCTGCCTCATGCTTCTTTTTCCCTGTTCTCATATATGGTGTCATTAGATTAGTTATTACCTTATGCTAATGATAATATGTGTGAAATAACTGATATACATCTACAAATAGACTTATATTGCGTTGAGTACTTACCTCTAAAAATAAAATGTTTTGAGTTTTCTTCTTCTGTCCATAAATATATCAAAGTTAAAAATTCTTAAAATATTTCTGATTATATGACTAATACAAAGTTCTAAAAGTAGAGTTGGTAACAAAAAGAAAAGGAGCTTATTTAAAGTTATTGAAACAAAGCATAAATGATGCTCTTGAAAAGTTGTACCAAACTATGTCTCCATAGCAATTGGAAGAAGTCTTATTTCCTTGTTCCTTTGCTAGCACTGACTATAGCTTCCTTTTTGATAGAATTTAAAAATGGTACCTTATTATTTTACTTTGAATTTGAGAACTTAACATCAAACTTATCTTCATGTTGTGAGGTTATGTCAATTTTGTGTATGCAAACTGTTCATTTATAACATCTACCCATCATACATTGAAATATTTGTGTACATAAATATTATCCATGAAAAGAAAGACTATTAACATCATTAAAAAGGGCAAAATCTTTAATAAAGCTCGCCTTCTAAGTAAAATGGAAAAAGCTGAAAAGAGACAAATATGTCTATATAAAATCAAATACACTGCCCATCAAAAACATCAAACAAAGCCAACAAACTGAAAAGTGCAAAAGCTCATAGAAAAATGTTAAGAGCCTTAATATATGAAGAGTTCCCAGAGTACAAATGATGAACTTCAGAAGAAAAATAGGGTGTTCAGTTTAAAAGAACAATCTAATTTGTAGGATGAGCAGTAAGATATTTTTGGTGCAGTGAATGAAATCCAGTTGTTTACCCTTCTCTCCTACAGAATCAATGCTCCCTTACTTTGTCTGTCTGAGGAGGAATATATGTAAAAATAGCACTGAAAACAGTGTCCATCTATCCTGTTCACCTCCTCCGAACCCTGTAAGGGGCTAAATGTTTACAACTTTTCAGTGAGCTGTATTAGAAATTAAGTAACATAATTATAGTTAGGTGGTAAAAATTATTAATACTCTAAGACTGAACTACTTTATCAATATTGATCAAATTAAAAATACATCTTAAATCACATTGAATGTAAATACACTTTATGAGGGAAACAATCCATAAGTCACTTTCTCCAAGTTATTTTTAAATAATGTACTTATCTCTATAGTTCATATGCATAATGGGACTCTGCTCTCCTATAAAATGTCATGGTTGGTAAAATTCAGATCAACTTTTTGAAAACTTCTAAGCCTATTTCAAAGTCATAGAAATATAAATACTATTCATTTAAAGTTCAATTCATTTAAAAGTTTTCCTCCTTAAAGAAAACAGAAACAAAACTAAGCCTTCCCTAAATCCCATTACCATACTTACAGACTGATGAATGAAAGGCGTATCTTGTGTAGCTGCTAATCTACTGGAGAACCCTGTGCTACCATCGGGGGTGCCAAAATTTAGTGGTTCTCTCTTCTTAATAACAATCTGAAAGATTAGTTGAAATAGAATTAAAAAGATATTTTTTATACAAAATTATACAAAAATAGACAAATAGTTGATCTATGCATTTTGTTATCACTTAAAATATGCTTTATTCTTTTTTAAATTATACAAAACCAATTACAACAGCATGTAAAGAGTACCAAAGTTCTCAGGAAACTATTGCACTAATCAGTTTCATATTAAGAAAAATTGTATTTCACATTAAAAAATTCTCATCTTTTTTGTGTTTTTCACTCCCTGCTTTCTCTAGACTCCCATGATACAAGTACTATTAGTTACTGAATTAAGTAATAACATGTATAACATATCCTGCCAAAAGTGAGGCCAGCTCCCTCAGCACTGGGCTGCCAATGAATACAGTATGACAATACATTTACTTGACACTTTGTCACTTCTATTAATAGCACCTGCACTCTAGTTAATTAATAAGGCACTAGTACAACATACTAATTTCCTATGGAGAACAGCAATATACTTCCACAATACAAGATACTCATTTATTAAGAAACTTAAAGGACCCTTGAAAAAGTATTGAAACATTTGGAAAACTCAGCAAAAAAGAATGTAAATGTTACCCAGCTAGATAATACAAAAAGTTGTAATTGAAACTGGCTAAGAAAGGTGAAGAGCTGTATTAGGATATGTAGAATAAATAATGTTCTCATTTTATAAATTACATATATTTCAATTAAAAAATTTCCATGTTGAACTGAAAAACAGTGTAACAATTTTTCTGAAATAGAGTAGAAATATTATAATATTTGAAGTAGTTGGAGGAAAGGTAAGGATAAAATGAAATAAACCCTTAACATAGTGGGATGCCAATGGACAATGTTGGCAACTGGTAAATCAAGGAATATGCTTACTATCCCATGCTTATTCTAATTATTAATATGCTTATTATATGCTGACAATCAGAAAAAGCTACTAAATGGCTGTGTTGGGAACAGAAATTTCTGAGAAGAGTGATCGGACAAAAACCTGTCATGTTTCACTATAAATCTTTCTAATATTCTTTGATTTAAATAAAGTGTACAAGTACTATGTTGATAAAAAGAAACTACTCAGCCATCATGATTTATGAAGTAACTCCCTGCATTTTCCATATTCAACTCAAAGCAGACTTAATAAAGTGTAGATGACTAACACAAACCCACAATTACTCAGAGTTCTCAGTGTCCTGCATCAGTTGTATAATGATTACTAACAATAAGAAACTACTTATCAGTGTGTAGGTATTACCAAACTGGGAACTTGTTACAACTGTTATCTTATTCAATAGCTGAGTCTCCCACAGAGGAGAACAGAGTCTAGAATCTAAGAAACAATAGAATTTCAATAAATGCTTACATATAGTATTAAAAGATTTGGAGACATAACCTATTATAGCTATGTCAAAGTCATCTGATTATATAAAATTCTTATTTAACATGACAGAAAATAATAATCCAAACAGGCTTTCTAATAAATATGAATTATATTGTCTTAACTCTAGGAATCTGAACAGCAAGTTTAATCTCCATAAACACAAATCTTCAGCATACTTTCTGAGTTTTCCTTATAGTTGGTGTCATGTCCTTAAAATAGTCAGGTTCCAGTTGCTCCAAAGCATTTTGTTGTGTTGCCACATTGCCATTCCCTCCTTCGATCTTTACACTCGTGGGTGCATCTTCATCCCAGGAAGTCCACTCTTCTACATCTGTCTAAATAAAGTTGATCAACATTGTCAACCACCAAGGTGTAACCTTTATTAGAAAAACAGGCTTTCAAAAAACACAGTCTTACAAACTCTTCTTGACCCACAGGAAAATATGCATTTCAAATCACTTATCAAAACTTGATCAAAAGTTTAAAAAAATGCTTTAACTGTGGGCTACACATTCTGACATATCCTGCTCTGTTGTATTTTGTTCTATTCTGTCCATTAAAAAAAAGTAAAACAAAAGCAAATGCTTCAGAAACTAAACTGACATTACATTACAGCCCACAGAAGGTAGACTAGAATTTTCCACCTAAACTGAACTAAAGTGATTACCAGATTAAAAACAAAACAAAAGAATCAACATTCTCTGCCAAATTTAAATCAGTCTCAAAATATATCTAAAATGTTCATGCAACAATCCCTAATTAACTATTCAATATGCACAGAATCAAAATCACATGTAAGGCTAATTAATAATGGCAACCCATAGATTATATAAATGTTCGAATTATCTAAATCTTTAAAACTAAAACTCTTCCAAAAAGTAACAGCTAACACTTGAAACCACTAGAAAAAATAGAAAATGCAGCAGAGTAGTAGAAGACAAAAGTAAGAAGCACATACAGAAATTCTGGAACTAAAAGTAATAAGAAAAACAACAAAAATTGTGACTGCCCAATTAATTTTATGACTAATAGTACATAATCCAGTTTGAGAAATACTGTTCTACAACACATACCAACTTTTCAAAACTTTTGAAAATTTTCAAAGTTTACCTGCTTTGGAACTGATGAATAATCAACAGTAGTTGGCAAGGTTATTTGGTCTCCACTTGATTTCCTTCCTCTGCCAGATCTTAAAAAAACATGATATAATTTATTTCAAAAACCACCAAAAGAAGCATGGGTAAAAAAGTATTATGGACAGTAATTTAAGAACAGGACTTTCCAATCTTAGAATCATCTTTAATAATGATTTTTCATAAAGCTATGATGAAAAGGCATGAATCATGCCTTTCAAACAAATGTTTTTAAAATATTGGATAGGACAACATAGCTGCTTATTGGGTCAGGTCTCAGAACTGCAGACAAACTCATAAGAAATATTAAGTAAAGAACAAAAACGCAACATAGTTTGAAACCATGCGCACTGCAGTGCTGAGGGTTCTGCAGGTGAAGCTCTGGGCCACCTATGTTAATACTAAAAAGGGTAGCTTGGATTTTTTATTTATAAACTAGGTTTTTTGGTAAAATTATTAAAAAGTATGAATATCACTGAAATAAACTGCATTGAGTTCTAAGAACTAGTATGAGAAGTATACATTAGACAAGATGGAATTTATGTAAAACATGGTTTTCAATGTTACTTCTATTGAATCTAGGTAGAGCCTCAGCTTAAATATCCTTCTTTGTAAAATGCAGGTATTCAAACCTATTTTTTGTAAGACTCTTGTGAGGATTTAATTAAGACACATGTTAAAAGCACCTAGGCAGTGCCTGCTATGCAGCAAGACATTCAAAAGATGACAGCTGTTACAACTAGTTATTTGCTTCATTTAAAGCAATTATAAAGCATTTAGAGGTAAATTGTAAAGGCAGCTATTTTTATTACAAATTTAGAAGTTATATTTTATTTCTTTAAAGGATGAATATAAAAGTATCACAGCCTACTACAAAATTTATAACATAAGCCTGGTATTTCACTATACATGATCCAGATTCTTTTTGACACTTAAGTTTATCCTACCAAAGAGTTGGTCTTCTTTAAAACTGAATACATAACCAACTTTAAAAACACAGTAATAACAGGAAAGACTTTAATATTTTTCAATCAAATGTAATTTCTTATCCTAAAACTAATCTATATTAACAGAATTTTAGAAAATAGAGATAGATAAAGAAAACTATAATTCATCACCACCGTTAACACAATGCTTCTTTTAACCTCCTGCTTTCTGGCAAAATACTCATTCTTGTCCTGCTTTACCTATAAACTTCTGGTCATTCCTTTTCATTTTTTGATGTTTTGAACACTCAGTTCACTATTTTTCCACTTTCCAAATCCTGTCCTCTTGGGTGATTTCAACAGTCAGCCACCCAATTTTTCCATGTCTTTCTTCTCTTCCAGTTATCATTTCTACTCTATTTCATACACTTGTTCCCTCTGGATCTTTTCTTTCAATCCCAGACTACTGTACTTCTTGTAATAAATTTAATGGCATTAGTTCTCAGAGTTCTGGCAGCAATCAAATGGCCATCTAGCCAAAGATTACTTTTCCTAGTCTTCCTTGCAGCTAGGCAGCCATATGATAAGCTCTGGACAGTAGGCGAGAAACAAAACAGTTGTGTGCAACTTCTAAGACATATCTACTAAGATAGCTGATTATCATCCATTTCCTTTTTTTATTTTGCTTTACTCTTAGTGTGTCAACAATTTTTCCACAATACCCTTAGCCCAAAAGAATTACCTAATAGTTCTGCTAATTAAGTAGTTAGGTCCAAACAACTTAGAACTTACATATATCCTAAGTACAAATGAAACAAAACATAAATTTAATGAACAAGTAGTATTTTTATTAATTTTGGACCATGTTTGCTTTTAATTACAACCTAAAACCTAACTTTGCAAAGATATGTCACCAAAAATACAAGTGAACAAAAACATATGTCAAGCATTAAGAACATTCATCATAAGGACTGTTGCAGGATCTAATGCTGCAAATGTGAGCTACCTTGACTTAGGAGTCCATGAAGTGTTTGGCAGATGTTGATTATTACTGTGTTTTGCTGGAAAGTCAAAAATATCTTACAGCATCCTCATGAATTTCAAATGAAGCCCTGATGGACTTCAACACACAGCTTAGAACCCATCTAGCCATAACTCTTTTTTTTTTTTTTTTTTTTGCAGCACTTTCCCTAGGGTGGGTTTGATCGAACCCCCAACCCACCTTTTCACCATCACGCCTGACATTAGAGCCTCTTTGCGCCCATTCTCATGGGTGGCTGAGCCCACCATGTCTGGCTGCATACTCTTTTTGTCTCTCCTTTGCTTTTGCTTTGCTTTGCTTTGCTAGTAAATTTCCATGGTCTCTCCCTCAACGTGTCTTAAATTCTTCTTTTGCGACATCGTCATGAAGTCGGTACCCAAGGGCCAGGAGGAGGCGTGCCCCCTTTTGGAGACCTCCCTGTGGTGGCTCCGGTCCTGGTAACAGTCGGTCCTTGAGGAGATGGCTGGGATGCTCCCACCGGGCCTGGGCTTGGTCCTTGTGTCCCCATGTTGTATCCAGGATTTTTTTTTTCCATTTTTCTTTTATTATTCATATGTGCATACAAGGCTTGGTTCATTTCTCCCCCCTGCCCCCACCCCCTCCCTTACCACCCACTCCACCCCCTCCCTCTCCCCCCCTCAATACCCAGCAGAAACTATTTTGCCCTTATCTCTAATTTTGTTGTAGAGAGAGTATAAGCTATAATAGGAAGGAACAAGGGGTTTTGCTGGTTGAGATAAGGATAGCTATACAGGGCATTGACTCACATTGATTTCCTGTGCGTGGGTGTTACCTTCTAGGTTAATTCTTTTTGATCTAACCTTTTCTCTAGTTCCTGGTCCCCTTTTCCTATTGGCCTCAGTTGCTTTAAGGTATCTGCTTTAGTTTCTCTGCGTTAAGGGCAACAAATGCTAGCTAGTTTTTTAGGTGTCTTACCTATCCTCACCCCTCCCTTGTGTGCTCTCGCTTTTATCATGTGCTCATAGTCCAATCCCCTTGTTGTGTTTGCCCTTGATCTAATGTCCACATATGAGGGAGAACATACGATTTTTGGTCTTTTGGGCCAGGCTAACCTCACTCAGAATGATGTTCTCCAATTCCATCCATTTACCAGCGAATGATAACATTTCGTTCTTCTTCATGGCTGCATAAAATTCCATTGTGTATAGATACCACATTTTCTTAATCCATTCGTCAGTGTGGGGCATCTTGGCTGTTTCCATAACTTGGCTATTGTGAATAGTGCCACAATAAACATGGTGTGCAGGTGCCTCTGGAGTAACAGTCTTTTGGGTATATCCCCAAGAGTGGTATTGCTGGATCAAATGGTAGATCGATGTCAGCTTTTTAAGTAGCCTCCAAATTTTTTTCCAGAGTGGTTGTACTAGTCTACATTCCCACCAACAGTGTAAGAGGGTTCCTTTTTCCCCGCATCCTCGCCAACACCTGTTGTGGTGGTGTTGCTGATGATGGCTATTCTAACAGGGGTGAGGTGGAATCTTAGTGTGGTTTTAATTTGCATTTCCTTTATTGCTAGAGATGGTGAGCATTTTTTCATGTGTTTTTGGCCATTTGAATTTCTTCTTTTGAGAAAGTTCTGTTTAGTTCACTTGCCCATTTCTTTATTGGTTCATTAGTTTTGGGAGAATTTAGTTTTTTAAGTTCCCTATATATTCTGGTTATCAGTCCTTTGTCTGATGTATAGTTGGCAAATATTTTCTCCCACTCTGTGGGTGTTCTCTTCAGTTTAGAGACCATTTCTTTTGATGAACAGAAGCTTTTTAGTTTTATGAGGTCCCATTTATCTATGCTATCTCTTAGTTGCTGTGCTGCTGGGGTTTCATTGAGAAAGTTCTTACCTATACCTACTAACTCCAGAGTATTTCCTACTCTTTCTTGTATCAACTTAAGAGTTTGGGGTCTGATATTAAGATCCTTGATCCATTTTGAGTTAATCTTGGTATAGGGTGATATACATGGATCTAGTTTCAGTTTTTTGCAGACTGCTAACCAGTTTTCCCAGCAGTTTTTGTTGAAGAGGCTGCTATTTCTTCCATCGTATATTTTTAGCTCCTTTGTCAAAGAAAGTTGCTATAGTTGTGTGGCTTCATATCTGGATCCTCTATTCTGTTCCACTGGTCTTCATGTCTGTTTTTGTGCCAGTACCATGCTGTTTTTATTGTTATTGCTTTGTAATATAGTTTGAAGTCAGGTATTGTGATACCTCCTGCATTGTTCTTTTGACTGAGTATTGCCTTGGCTATTCGTGGCCTCTTGTGTTTCCATATAAATTTAACAGTAGATTTTTCAATCTCTTTAATGAATGTCATTGGAATTTTGATGGGAATTGCATTAAACATGTAGATTACTTTGGGAGTAGACATTTTTACTATGTTGATTCTACCAATCCATGAGCATGGGAGATCTCTCCACTTTCTATAGTCTTCCTCAATCTCTTTCTTCAGAAGTGTATAGTTTTCCTTGTAGAGGTCTTTCACATCTTTTGTTAGGTTTACACCTAGGTATTTGATTTTTTTGAGGCTATTGTAAATGGAATTGTTTTCATACATTCTTTTTCCGTTTGCTCATTGTTAGTGTATAGAAATGCTAATGATTTTTCTATGTTGATTTTATATCCTGCTACCTTGCTATAGCTATTGATGATGTCTAGAAGCTTCTGAGTAGAGTTTTTTGGGTCTTTAAGGGTATAGGATCATGTCGTCTGCAAATAGGGATATTTTGACAGTTTCTTTACCTATTTGTATTCCTTTATTCCTTCTTCTTGCCTAATTGCTCTGGCTAGGAATTCCAGTACTATGTTGAATAGGAGTGGAGATAGTGGGCATCCTTGTCTGGTTCCTGATTTTAGAGGAATGGTTTAATTTTTCTCCGTTAAGTATAATGCTGGCTTAGGTTTGTCATATATAGCTTTTATAATGTTTTCCTTATTCCTAGTTTTCTTAGAGCTTTTATCATGAAATGATGTTGGATCTTATCAAAGGCTTTTTCTGCATCTATTGAGATGATCAAGTGGTTTTTGTCTTTGCTTCTGTTAATGTGGTTTATTACGTTTATTGATTTTCGTATGTTGAACCACCCCTGCATCCCTGGGATGAAGCCTACCTGGTCGTGGTGAATAATCTTTTTGATGTGTTGTTGAATTCGATTGCCCATTATTTTGTTGAGGATTTTTGCATCAATGTTCATTAAGGAGATTGGCCTATAGTTCTCCTTTTTGGAGGTGTCTTTGCCTGGTTTGGGATAAGTGTAATACTGGCTTCATAAAATGTGTTTGGCAGTTTTCCTTCCCTTTCTATTTCGTGGGAACAGTTTAAGGAGGGTTGGTATCAGTTCTTCTTTAAAGGTCTGATAAGAATTCAGCAAAGATCCATCAGGTCCTGGACTTTTTTTTTTGGGAGACTCTTGATTGCTGCTATCAATTTCATTTTGTGTTATAGGTCTATTCAGGTGATTAATTTCCTCTTGGTTCAGTTTTGGATGATCAATGTAATCTAGAAATCTGTCCATTTTAGATTTTCAAATTTATTTGAATATAGGTTCTCAAAGTAGTCTCTGATGATTTCCTGACTTTCCATGGTGTTTGTTTGTTATCTCCCCTTTTGCATTCCTAATTCTACTAATCTTTTAGTCATGGACTACCTATATATTCTGGAATGTTATCTAAGAAACAAACAAAAATCTATTTTAGCTAGGGATTCTCTGCTAAAGTTTTTTTCCCCCACAAATATAAAAATAACATTCCTATGGTAGTACAGACAGAAATACCTATGCCTAATTCACCCAATCACCTTAAAATATTAAATAATGAAAAACACATAAAACCTTTGTGATGACAATAATGAAAGTTGGTCTGCTTATTTCTGACTCTACAGTATTCTGAAAGTATTAAAATAGAAAATATAAGAATTTGAAAGAACAAAAACAACTATTCTTCTACATTCTAGATCTGAAGTAGAGAAAAAATACTTCTAAAAACTAGAGATTAATAAATTAATATTATAAATAGGGGAGTTAGTATAAATAGAATCTCTCCTTCCTTTTGAAGTTATGAAGGAATCCAAAACCAGTGGGGAGATAAGCAAGTCAGTTTGAACATTCAATTTATTTACCTGCATATTAATCTCTTTAGGAATGACAATACTGTTGCTAGGCAGGTGCAAACTTTAAATAACCGAAACTGAGTGATGGCCATGGTGGGAATCAAAACCTGTCAAAAAAGCACACACGACATAAGAGCATTCAATTAATTTCATAAGCCACATTACTGTTTTAAGTCAAGCCAAAAGTCTTTATGCACTAAGAAAAATCTGATGTGTTTCTACTCTTCTCTACAAACTATAATATAACATACTTTAATAAAATGTAAATGAATATTAGCAACTTAAGAAATTAGGTTTTTAAAGTATTTTCAATAGTTATGAGGTGGAAACTTCATTCTGAGTGGTTTTTAAAAATCATTCCTTCTAAATTATCTAAATACAAATTTACCTACAATTAAAAAGCAAAAAAGTATGAAACAGTATATATTCAATCTTTTTGTAACTTTTGAAGTTTGAATCATATGAACATAGCCCTATTCAAAACAATCTTAAACAGTTTCACCTTTAAATAATTAAAAGAGTTCATCATACTCATTTTATAGGTGCAGAAGTTGAACTAAGAGAGGACAAATAAGTTGCTCAAAGATACAAAGCTGATAAAATGAAAGTAAACACAGAGCTCATCAAATTCAGTGATTTGTAAATCTTGACATGTGTTCAAAAAGTATTTACACCTGAGCCTACTGGTAATAAGTGAATTAAATCCTATTCTCTGAGGGGCAAGGACCAATCACAATCAATAAACTAAGAAAGGGGATAAAACTACCCAAAAGACAAGAAACTAAGAAAATAACAAAAAACAAGTAAGACAAACTGAAAACAAATTGCCAAGATGAAATACTTAAACCCAATCATAATGATAATTACATTAAATGCAAATTGTCTAATATCACAATAAAAGAGAAGTCATTAGACTAGATAAAAGAGGAAGCCCCTACTATATTCTACCTATAAGAAATGCATTTTAAATATAAAAATACACGTAAATTAAAAGGATACTAGCTAACACTATGCAAAAGGAAGGTGAAGTGACTATTTTAATGTCACAGGCTTCAGAAGAATAATATTGCACAATATAGAAGTGGTCATTTCACAAGAATAAAGAGGTCAATTAATCAAAAGTATATGACAATACAAATGTTGAAAATTTTGCCAGTTATCACAAATGAGAGGTGACATTTTTAGATACTGAAAAGAATATTGTAAAAACATTACAAGCAATTTTATGCCTATATATTACAAGTGAGAGGAAGTAGACAAACCCTGGAAAACACAAATTACCAAAGTTCAACAAGAAGAAAGAGATGCTGGGTGCTGGTGACTCAAGCCTATAATCCTAGCTACATGGGAAGCTGAAATTGGGAGGATTGTGATTTGAGGCCAGTCTGACAATAGCTGGGTGTGGTGGCACGTGCCTGTCATCGCAAACTACACGCACGGGAGACTGAGATCAGGAAGATCATGGTCTCAGGCCAGCCCAGGGTGAAAAAGTTTATGAGACCCCATCTCAACAGAAAAAAAAAAGCAGGGCTTGGTAGTGCATGCCTATCATCCTAGCATAAAATAAGAGGACAGAGGTCCAGGCAGGCCTAGATAAGAAGTGAAACCCTATCTTCAAAATAACCAAGCAAAAAAGGGCTGCAAGAATGACTCAAGCAGTAGAACAGATGCTTAGCAAATCTGGGCTCAAACCCCAAAACCACCAAAAAAAGGAGGAGAAGGAGAAGAATGACATAATATAAAAATCTATCCGTAAAGAAATTGAATTTGTGGTTAAAAATTCTCCAGGTCCAGATGGCTTCACTGCCGAATTCTACAAAACACTTGGGAAGATGTAATACCAATTTTATAAAAACTACCAAAAAGATGAAAAAGAAGGAATATTTTCCAACTCATTATTTGATGCCAGCATTACACTGATTATAACTCAAAGACATGAGAAAAAAAATACTAGAAACTAATACCTTAAGAATATAGCAACAAAACTCTTTAAAATATTGATAAGTTGAATACAATAATAATTAAAATGACAATTACATCATGACCAACTGTGGCTTAGCATGGAATATATGATTGATTTAACATTAAAAAAATCAGATAACATACTGAAAAAAAACAAAAACAAGTATCTCAACAGACAGAAAAAGCCTTTGACAACTTCAACATTCATTCCTAAGAAAAACACTAAGTAGGAATAGTAGGGAAGTTTCTCAACCTGATCAAGGGCATCTATAAGTCTTGCATTATTGGAAAAACATAATACTCTCCCCACCCAAGATCTTGAACACAAGCACATCCACTTTTGCCACATCTATTCAAATTTGTGGGAGGCTTTCGTAAGTATAACCAAAGAAAAGAGGAAATGAAAGGCATTCAGATTGAAAAATAAGTAAAGCTATTTGTGTAGAAAATTCACTGAAATCTACAAATCAATTGTATTTTCATATGTCAACATTAAAATTCAGAAAAAATTATATGAACCATCAATATGATACCTAAGAACAAATCTAATGAAATATATGTACACTGAAAACTACCAACTATTGCTGAAAACATTTAAAGAGCTGCATTAATTTAAAAAGACTTTTTCAGGTTTGGAAGGCTCAATATTGGTAAGAAATCAAATCTCTGCAAATTGAGCTATAGATTCAATGCAATCCCAATAAAAATATCAGCAGGCTTTTTTTCCCCAAAACTAGACAAGCTAATTCTAAAGTAGGAAATTGCAAAGAGCCTATAAGAGCCAAAACAACACTAAAAAAAAAAACAAAGTAAAGAGCTAACGGTACCTGATTTCAAGACTAGTTATAAAACTACAGCAATCAAAACTGGAATATTGGAGTCAATATACACAAACAGATTGATGAAAAGTACAAAAATAGACCCACATACACATGAACGGCTGAAATGTGACAAAAATGTGAAAGCAGTTCAGGGGAAAAGGGTTTTTTCCAGCAAACAGTACTGGAAAACTTGGGTATTCACATGCAAAGAAACAAAGATTTCAATCATAGCTCACCATTTACAGAAAGCAACTCAAAATACATCACAGTCTTAATATAAAATCTGAAACTACAAAATAAAAAGAAAACCTTCATAACCCTGTATTAGGTAAATATCCTTTCGATTTTTATTTTTAAATAAGTATATAAAATTATGGTCAACATCATTAATCAAGGATATACAAATTAAAGCACAGTTAGAAACAATTAATGCATCTATTTATAGTGACTCAAACTAAAAATTATTTTCATTATGACCATGTCACGTACTTGCAAGGATGTGGATGAACTCTTTTGCAGGGCTCAGGATAGAACCCACGGCTTCATGCATGTTAGATCGGCATTTTGTCAACTGAGCTACATCCCCAGCCCTGGAGTTCTTACACATTAGTAGAGGGAACGTAAGGTGGTACAAACACTTCGGAGAACAGTTTGGTGATTCCTTACAAAGTTAAATATCTACCATTAACCTCATCATTCTACTCCTAGGGATTTACCTTAAGATAAATGAAAACACGTACCCATAATAAGACTTGTACTGAAATAGCGGCTTTATTTTTAATAGCTCCAAACTGAAAACAACTCAAAAGTGCATTCAACAGAAAAATGATTAAACAAATTGTGGTATATACATAGAGTACTCAGCAATTAAAAATGAACTATTGTTACAGGTAATACAACAGATATATCTCAAAAATTACTATGCTGAATGAAAAAAGCCAGACCTTCCCCAAAGATATACTGTATGATTCCATATATTTGAAAACCTCTAGAAACTGCAAGCAAATAAATATACAGTGACATAAAGCAGGTAAGTGGTGCCTTAGGATGGGTAAGGAGGGTAAGAAGGATAGACTGTTAAGGGGCGAAAACTTTCGGAGGTAACAGTCTATTTTGAAGCAAATGTGTCACAAAGGTGCACATATCCATTAAAACTAATCAAACTGTGCACTTTAAGTGCAATTATTATATCTCAATTATAGCTTATTATAAGCTTTAGCATCTTGAAGTGGTTAAAAAATGTAGACTGAGACATTTTTGAACAATATTATTAGAAACAATATTAAATTAGAAAAAGTTTTCATATCCTGGCTTGAATCTTAAAAGAAGGTATTAATACCATCATTATCTTACACTATTTGCTGTTCTTTCTGGAGACCTAATTCCATCAGGAAACTAATGATCAAGCATACCTAAGTGTTAGTTCACTTATGATCACCTTAATAAGTATCACTGCCCCTTTACAGAACTGATGCAGAGTAACCACATTCCCATGTTCCTACATCCAATTCCTTGGTTTCAAACCTGTATCTATTTAATTCAAAAGCCAAGAACACCTCACTAATAATGAACATTCTTAATAATTTAGTAAATTATGAAGATACTATAACTTCCAAGATAAAATTTCCAACAACTTGCACTGAATTGGGAAAATACAATCAAGCTATCAAGTGAAACTTGATTTTATCAATTACATTGTTTTGCAGACAGGAATAAACTTTAAGACCTGTAATTTACTTAGTATTCCAATTCAATTCAATGAAAAAAAATATATGTACACATGGCACTACATTAGGTACTGGGAAACACTTCACAAGCCAGTACAGACACACCCTGCCTTGGCTGATCAATTGTCAAGAGCTTCTTCCTACACTTAGTCCTGTTGCATGCGCAAGGGTCTAAGGAGGCAGAAGGACCCCATCAGTGCTGCTGGGTTTGTTGTTTCTAGGTCTTGGTCAATGACAGTCACACAGGAAGTACTCGGTATTTATTGAGGGAAACATTCCTTAGTAAGTTCAAGACACAGTTGAGTAGTTTCACTATTCCCATTTCATGGATGAAGCCCACAACTGGCATGGGAGAATGAGGCAGATTCACGAGACTTGATCCCAAGCCCAGGCTCTCCCCGTATCATATGCCACTTGAGAAACCTTTTGTACGCATTGCTTCAGTGTGATTTTTAAAATATCCTGCAGATCACCGATTTGAGAAGCATATTATATCTTAGGCTACCTTGAACTTTGGATACCTTAAAATACGTTCTAGAACCAAACAATACTAAAATGACCTAATTTTAAATTTCCTTAAAACTACTAAGAAAATACAGAAACTTGGGCTGTATCAGAGTAAGGTTCAGAACTATGAAACACCCTCTCTCAGGACTACAGGATAAATGACATCTCTGGAACATCAATAGGAACAAGAACTCTGCTGACAACTGAAAAAGATTTCCCTACAATTAAAAAAAAAAAAAGTCCTGCATTAGAAACTGATGGATCAAATACAACTTCCCTTCTTGATTCTCGGTGAACTGCTCAGAGTCTATTGTAGATGCACTGTATCACAATCCATCCGGCCGTCTATCCTGGTCCACACGAACAGGTCACCCAGCGCTGTATTTCTACAGCTTCATTTCTAATCTTTTCCTACCAACTTCTGAAATACCCTGATTTACTGCAGTGCAGAACACCCTCAAATTAAGTCTGTCACTCTCCCAAAGCTCCAAAATTAAAATCGACCCGGAATCACTTAGACCTGAAAGCCAAGGATGGGTGGACGGCGGCGCACCGGCGGAAGCGCGTGGGGTTTTGCGGGCTGCCGTGAAACCCCACGATCTGCAGCAGCGAAGGTCAGGCCCGGAATCTGGGGCGCCCTGGGCTGTTGCAGGACAACTAGTGGGGCTCGTGCCAAATCACCCACCTAACACTGACTGCCGTCGGGCATCATACCCACTGCACAGATGAGAGAAACAAGCGTTTCCCAGCGACACTGCCCCCCGCCCGGCGTCACGGGAACCGCGCAAAGCTGCGGGACGCGGGCGCCTGGTGGGGACTGTGGAGGGATCTGCCCGAGAGATGCGAGGCTTGTAGGCCAAGCGAGGGCAGCAAGGCCGGGCCTATATCCTTCAGTGCGGAACTGAAGCCGGGGGATTTCCCGGGCCGGTGCCCCGCAGGCCGAGCTTCCCTGCAAGAGCGCCGCATGGCCAGGGTTGCACGGCCCCGCGCCGTTCCGGGTCGCGCTTTGCTCACCCCAGAGGTCACCCTGACCCGGAAACAGTACGCCAGAGTGGCGGTCGGGCGTGGGGAAAGGCCGGGTAGAACAGCGAAAAGGAAGGTGGAAGGGAGGGAAGTGCGAAGCAAGTCGGAGGCAAAGGAACTGGCGGGGAAAGGGCAGACTACACCCCGAAGGCTGGGGTTGGGGTCGGGGTGAAGATAAGGAAAGGAAAGCCCCTCGCGGGCGCGCGCAAGTCGAACACACTCACCTGCCCCTCCCCCTCCCCGCCCTCCCGGCGGAGGCTTCGAGCTGCCGCGGGCCGCGCGCGCACACGAGGCGCGCGCGCGCGCTCTGCCCAATGGTTTTCTCGAGCTCGCGCTCAGCCTATTCAGTCCCAGCCGCGTTCATTCAAAGCCGGGCGCGCGCTCCGTCGCAGCCGCCTTTGCCGCCGTGCAGCTGCCATGGCCGTCCCCTCTTCGGGAGTCCCTCCCCCAAACCCTCCCCTTTCGCTGTCCTGGAAGGCGGGCTCTCTGTTGTCTCTAGGCCCTTACTTCCGCACCCCGCCCCACGTCTTGTCTGGCCCAATAGACGAGAGGCTGCTGGGTCTGGCGTCAAGGTGAAGAGCCAATGAGCGGCAAGGGGCGTGGCGAGCGGGGCGTGGCGAGCGGCGCGTGGCACGCGGAGGTTTGGGGGGGGTAGTTTGTGGTCGTTGGGAGCTCGGTGGACCTGGGCCGCGTTATCTTTTGTGTCCACTGCCTCTTCACAGCCAGGCCGCTTTATCACGCATAGAGCCGTCTACCAGAAGGGACCGAGAAGCAGCTCCAGACTGCAAAAGAGGACCAGCCCCTCTGAGTCAGGAAGTTTAGGCTATGGCAGTTGAGTCCCATCCAGAGCGTTGCCTCTCCCACGCGGTTTTTAATTCCGTTTTCTTCAGCTAGAAGTTAAAACAAGTGCATTTCACCAAGTCCCTCCATGTACTACTTGCCTGTAGCCTGGACCCGCCATTCCTCCAAGCTGTGCCCTTAAGTGGTGCTGTCCTGGAAGGCTGGTTGTTTTTATTACTGTTTTTAATCTGGCATGCTTTTGAGAAGCTGGAATCCTTTGCTGTTACGGGCAGAGGACTGTCAGAAAAGCCCTGCTGCAGAAAGGACGGCTAGGGAGCCTCCCACGGACATTTTTCACCCTGCCCACTCAACTTTGTAGGACTCAGTCCCCACCCTGCTCACTGCAGTTTGCTCAGCGTTGCTATTAGTAATTTAGTCATCGTTGCTTTATTACTTTTGGGACGGGATCTTGCTATGTGGCCCAGGGTGGCCGCAAACTGAGAATCCTCATGTCTTTGCCTCCGGAGTGTTGGGGTTACAGGTTTATACTACCCTGCCTGGCCAGTGAGGGGAAACAGGAATTTATGACTCCTGCTCTGGCTGGCTGTCAGATAAAGTGATTTCGTGACCTCAGTTTCCTCATCGGTAAATTTAATGCTTGGAAATCTGTTAGTGCAGAGTCTGACACAGGAGAATAGCTGTTCCTACAGTTATGCCTGTTAAACTACCACATCATTTTCAGAAATTATACCTCCCCAAGCCCAGGAAGCCATCTTCAGTCCGTTAAACACCTACCTTTAACCTCTCTTTGAAAGCCTACATTCCAGTAATCTAAAACTTCCAGTGCTTTTGGGTACTCCAAATTCAATAATCTTGACATAAGTATGTTTTCAATTTTTTCCCTTTATGACTTAGGTATTTGTTTCAAATTGTTATTGTGGTCCATGAAATTTTCTTTTTTTCATAACTTTTCATTTTTCTTTACAAAATTTGCCATGAGTACTCGCTTCCCAACATAACAGCAAACAAATGGAAAACAACAAACCTTGCTAAAGATTGAAAATTTAAGTTTTACTTTAGAAATACCTGTCAAAGAATATTTTAAAACTGTCTTTACTTTTGGGTGGTAATTCCACAATTGGGGATCAAAGGTGTTGGTAATTTGGAATCTCACTTGGGAAGCACCCCAGGGAATGTGCAATTTTAAATCAATCCTGTCCTCTGTACAAATCTTGCATGGGTAGATGTGGAGGATCTCCAAATGTGGTCAAAAAAAGGAGATAGAACTTGGTATATGAAAAAGTTCCTTCTGAATAGCCTTCATTCCATGGGGTGTAGTTTATTTTGCCTGCTCTGTGCGTAATCTTGGGTCCACTTTAAAGTTTATCATTCTTTGCCCAGTCACCTGCTTGATTTTATTCAGGCCATCAGCTTCCAATCCACCTCTTTCTCTTTAAAAACCTGTGTAGTTGTTGCTGTTTTAAGTTTTCCAGTTGGGGCTGAGCCGTCTCAATTAAACCTGCCCAGAAGATTGCAAATACAGTCCTTTGCTTCTAGATCACCCCCAACCTAGTTCCCTGGCTTTTCACCAAAGGGTAGGTTTTTTTCCTCAAGCACAATTTTAGACCTGCTGTTCCGACTTGGACTTAAATGGCTTTTTATTAATGAGCAGCTGTTCATGGTAGAATACAGATCATAAAGTCACATTCATTTCTCTGTCAAGCAAAACAAAGACTTGCAGCACAGTTACAGCTTTGAACAGATACTTTTGAAAACATATAGTTTTCTGTGATAATTCTAATGTGTGGTTTTATTGCTCTTTCTACTAGAATATTTTACTTGCTTTCCAAATAATAAACTTTAACATTCTAGAAATTATAACTTTTTAATATTTAAAATCGTTATTTAATAGTTAAGGTCAATTGCTTAATAAACCAAACAGTATGAAGCAGCTTTTTATTTCTATGCTACTGAATGAAAATTAACTTTCCAGGAGACATTTAAATATTTTTAATTATAATTATTACTAAAATAAGTAGCAATTTGTATTGTTTCATACAGGATGATCCAAGAATTAAGAACTATTTTAAGAGTTAACCAAGTTCTTTCAGAAGAGGCCTAAATGGAAGTGAAGAAAAATGATGCACTTTTTTTTTTAACTAGAAATGAATTCAAATGAAAAGATGGACAAATTCTCATTCTATGACCAGTAGTGAGGCTTAGTAACATAAGGCCACTTAACCAATGCCACGTTATTATCAGAACTATAATATAGTTCAGCTATAATAAGATTTAAGTAGACTTGATCTGAACAAGATCTAGAAGTCTAAGGCCTTATATTACTTCTAAGAGCAAATGGGTTGAAATTCATACAACTAACATAAAACAATAACCTAACCTAATCTATTTTGTACATGAATTGAAAACATACAAATAATACTGAACTAACAATGGAAGACTCATCCTTTCAGCAACATACAGCATGTCAGACATTGTGACTGTGACCTTGAATAAGTTTAAGCCTCAATTTTCTCATCTGCAAAATTAGGTCAATAATTCCTTCTTTGTGGATGTACTGTGCAAATTAAATGTCATAATGTATGCAGAAATGTGTTGGAAACACAGCAATAAAATGAAGGAAAGCTTCCAGCACCAATATTGTCTTCGAGTTCAGTAGAATCTTCTTGAGCTTATAACAAGGAATTTCTAAGAAATAGAGGTTAATTCTCTGTCATGAGCAACCAGATATACACGTTTATCAATAACATTAAAAAGAAAAAGAGAGAAGAGTTAGCTTGGAAGCTGTAGCCAGAAATCAATTCCCCAATCGTCTTTCTCTGCCTCTTTGCTTTTAAAGACATTAGGTGGAATAGCAGCTGTCAGAATGAAAGCCAACACTTACCCCGCTCTCCAAGCTTCACTACTCCTGGATGATTTTTCCTATAACATTATTCACTGCCAAAGTTTATCCATTTTCAGTGCCAATCATTTCAGCTTATGTAGATTATTATGACATCCTAACTAGTCTTTTGTACTTTATTTTTTTATTCCTTGTAAGTCAGCTCAGAACTTTGCTGTCATATTAACATATTTTTAAAGAACAGTCTTTCATGGTAACTGTCTTGGTCAAAATGAAAATATTTATTTGCCATTGTCCAACAGTTCAAATTCAATTAGGAGGATGTATCTTAATTGTTGCTCTTTAAAGTCTTAATTTATTTCTACCTCTTGTTTTTGGATCTCCCTCTAGCCATTTATGTCCCTAGAAAAATATCAGACACTATCAGCAATTCTTGTCAAAGGTGTTTGTCTATGTATACTGTACATTTCATACAGTGAAAACCATTCACCTCCTCACAGTGAAACATGTATTTCTTTCTGTAGTTCTTATTTGAAATTAAACCTTTAAGAAATATTGAGTGGAAAAACTTAGGTTTTCTCTCTTCCTAGGAGGAATTTGCCTATATAAAGGATCATCTGCCTAAATACATAAATTTGTCCAAAGAAAACCAATGGATATCTCTTACAATGTAGCCAGCCACACTCATAAATGCCCTGCCCAAAAGGAATTATTTTTTTCTGCTCAGAGGCACAGAGCCCATTACCATAGCAACCATAACTAGTTGGTCTGTAACTGGGTGAGAATTTTAAACACTGTTATTTCAAACATTAAATATTGTAAGTCAGGATAAAGTGCAGTTTCTGCAATATTTTGGAAGGATTTCTTTTTCTCAAAAATCTGATGGAGGAAAAGTTTCATCATGTTTTTTACTGATTTATTTAAACAGCTTATTTCCACTTAGGGGCACACTGTGTGCTGACCTCATTTGAGAAATCAAAATAACATATATAACACTCAACCCAAGAGAACTTTTCTAATAAAGTTGGCATTTGTGGATCAACAGCATTTCTACAAATGCAGTTTTTCCATGAGGATTTTAAAATCACAAATCATAGTAAGTACTGTATTAGGACCTATGAGTAAAGTGGGAAGAGGTTTATAGCTGGTCAGATGCCCACACAGCCTTTCCTTTTCACAGAGGGAAAGTTGGAATAAATAAATCTTAGTGTTTATTTCACTGGAGAGTGGACACTCCTTGTCAGTTGGAGCCAGCATGAGTCTGCTGAAAATGCACATTGACGAGAGTGGGAAAAGGGTACAACCCTCTAACTGCTTCAAATAGGTTCTACCCAAATACAGAATGAATTCAAATTAAGGTTTAAACATTTCAGTTTTGGATGAGTTGGGTAATAACTTCAAAATATATGTGGTATCTTAAGCTCTTTTCTTATCCTGGAATTGTCCCTGCTCATCTAACTACCCACTCCCTTAGGAAGGGTTAGTTCCCTATTCTCTTGTTCCTTTCAAATTTTGTCATCTCTGATGTCAGATGGAACCAGAAGATATACCAGTTAAAATTAGACAGTGCACCACAGTGTCAAGAACCCAAACTCCTTTCACCTGAGCTCTGTCCCTTCCCACCAAGGCTGGCCTTTTCCCTACCAGTCTGAAGAGGCATCTTGCTTCATGCAGTAGGAAAAGCAGGAAGGGATGAATAAAGGCAGAAGGATGCATAATAGCTATGTTTTAAGGAAACTTCCTACAATATGCCATGAAATTATTTCTGTTTTTATAACGTACTGCACATAAGAC